CCCCCACACACACGCACCATCGCCACCACCAAGTGACGCAGCGCCTCATCTGCCCCGCCCTCGGCCCCTCCCCGCCAGATCGCCGTGGCGACAGCTCGGGCGAGCCACGCCCACCGCCTTGACGCGCGGGAACACGCCTGCGGCTGGATCCCGAGCACGAAGTCCCCATTCACCCACATCCACAGTGATCATACGAAGCCCGGAACTGGACACTGTCCATCACCTCTTAATTTTGCCTCCTAAATGCATCTCGAAGCCTCTTACTTCTCTCTGTCCCGCTGCCAACACTCCAGTCTAGGCCACCGTCTCCTCTCTCCTAGATGATGATTGCCCTCTCCACCCCATTACTCTTTCGCCTTACAATCCATTCTTCACACTCAGACTGTGGGAGCTTTTCACAGCCTCCCCTGCTCAAAGCCCATTTCTCATTGTTCTTCGGATTGAGATCTAAATCTTTACTGTAGCCTATCTGCCAGGCTCTTCAATCCGTACCTAACCTGCCTCTCTGGCATTCTCACAGAATCAGCTCCCCCATGTACTCAGTGTCTTTCAAGTACTCTAACAAGCCAGATTCCTCCCCGCCTCAAGGCCTTTGCACTCATCCCTCCTCCACTTTCCCTTACTAACTCCTAAGAAAGGACTCCAACTGGTAGTGTGGACAGGAGCTGTACTTTGCCTCCGTTGCGGGGGGTGGGGGCCAAGGTCGGAGTTCCAGCCACCCCAGAAGGGTCTAAGGTGTTTTTCCAATGGGTCTTGGGGAGTCCCAAAGAGAAATACTAAACATCTGTTATTTAGGAAGACAATAACGACTTTATTTTACATTGGAAAAAAGGGCAGCCGGATTGCACTTCTTAAAATGTAAATCTTGTCACTGCCCTGCAACAACCAATCAATCATCTCTCCATCGAATTCTCTACCCTTGCTAATCCTTTGGCCACGCTGATTTTCTGTCCGTTTCTATGGCTCTTCACAAGCTCTTTCCAAGCGCTGGGCCTTTGACTAGACTGTTGCTTTTTACAAAGCTGACTCTTTGACGGGTCTCCTCGGTGAAGTCCTCTTTGACTACGTTATCCAGGAGTGCTCCCCTCAATCTCATGCCTCCCACACAGCAATTACTCTCTACCTTACCACTGCTCATTTTCATCAGAGCACTTGACACAATTTCTAATTATTTAACTTGTTTGTTCTCCTGGTTTTGTCTTTGGCCCAAATTAGATTTGGGGTCTATCTTGTATCTAGGGAATTGTCAGAACCTGACAGATAGTAGACGTTCATTGTGCATTTGTGGAAGGAATGAAAGAAAGGGAATGATATTTGAAAAAAAAAGTGATAATTGAAAATACCCAGTAGATTCTTCTTAAATGACCTGACTCAATAGGAGAAGTGCTTCTCAAGTCCTGTCTGGAGACTGAAGAGGGCATTTCCTGAGCTGAGGTAGTCAGGGCAGAGCGCGATGCTTAGGGAGAGGTCCTGGGAAGACAGGGACAAAAGGTTTAGATATACACACTTTGACAACACATATACAAAAATTGTAACCATACAGAGAAAATTGATGTGGCCCCTGACCAAGGATAACTTGCAAATTTGTGAACTGTTCCATATTTTAAAAAAACAAACAACTTCTGGGTTGAGAACCAAAACTACCTGCATGAACTCAGCCAAGTGCTAAAATACAGGAAGAAAGGACCTTCCCAGGATCCTCTGGGTATATGTTTATTAACATTAAATTGCTCAGATTTTGGTGGCTGTTGTAGCATATAGAGAATTTTTTGCTCTGTGACGACAGTAATGCCAAGGATCCATTGCCCCATACAAATATAACATGTTTCTTTTCTTATTCAACCTGCACATATTGAGACACAGGGTTGAGCTGGGCATCAAAGACACAGAGCCGAATGAGATTTAGGCCCTGCTCTCTGAGGAGTTTACCACCTGTTAAAGAAAGCATGACAATCTGTAAGTTAAAATTCTTTTTGTCTGTTGCAAGTATAAACACTGACACTGTTACAAGTACAAGCAAAAGAAAATATATTGGGAGGATACTGGGGCCCCAGTGCATGGACAGGAGAGCAGGATCAGAAAACAAGCCTCACAAAAGCAGCTCCACCAAGAAGCAAGAAGCAGCAGCTGTTGCTGCCAGCAGCACCACATGCCACAGCTGGGATTCAATCCTAATATCCCTTTGTCTTTGAGTCATGCACTCAAGAGGCAAAGTCTTGGCCAGGAGCCGATGTTGATTGGTCAATCTCAGGTCACATGGATTAGTCCAGGCTGCCAGAGGAAGAAGAGAGGAACAATTTGCCTCTAAGGATAGCACCCCCCGAATGAGAAGAGAGGGAAGGACTGATGCTGGCCAGGCAAAAATAACTTGATAAAATACGAATAAAATACATTGAGAGTTAAGCTTTTCCTGATTAAAAAACCTGCGGAAACTTGCCTTGCTAACTTCTGAGCTGGATGTCTGGCTGGCTGCTAGACACAGAACTCCGGTTTGCAAAAGTTCTGGTCTAAAGTCCAGGTTTCACTACTGCCTCTTTAGCAGCATCTATCTACCCTTCTGCCTTAAGGTCCTCCCCAGCATCTCACTAAGTAATTGGTCTCAACCTTCCAGTTCTTTCTTAGATAGAACCTTTCTTTGTCAGATGGCATTCAATTAATAGTTGTGGTTGACTGAATGAGTGAAAGAATGAATGTATAGCAGCCTCAACTCCTGCGAGTAGATTCTCTCCTGCTAAGTTCCCAATCACTTCAGAACTGTGGTCCCAGCACATAAGACAACAGCTCCACAATGAAGCCTTGCATACACACCAGCTGTACAGTAGCACAAGAGTCATTCAATACCTGCACAGAAGTGTCCTTTCTCTCCCTAAGCATCACTTTTCTTCAACTGTAAAATGGGATGATATTTACCCTCACTCACAGAATTGTCACATTTAAGTTAAATAACACATGAGAAAATGTATTGTAAACTGCAAAGTTCTATATAAATGATTTTCTGATTGCTTTTTACTAGATTCATTATCTGGAGTATTCAAAATGTCCCTAGCTAAAGAGAAGCAGAAGTAAAGATCTGAGATAGGATATTCAACTAGAAAACTGATCTTTCTCAACCTCCATCCAGCAAACCTTTAAACTCTGTCCTTCTACAACCCCACAGCACTTACAATGAGTCTGTCAAGGAGAAAAGGAAAAACTAAAACAGAAAAGCAAGCCCCTTAGCTCTGGCTCACACTCACAGACCCCATGCACTCAAAGTATCACCAAGCCTGAGCATGTTGGTCTCCAAAGCAGGAACTGGAGTGTGATGTCTGCAGCACCAAGCTCAGTGTGAGAACTCAGGAAGCCGGAAACCACAGTCATAGCAGCATCTGAGAGTCCACGAACCTCCACAAGGCAGCAGGGGCCCAAGGGAGGTGTGTTGAGTCTTTGTCCTGGTCTGAGGTCTCACCAATCTGGGCCTGATGGAAAGTTCCTGAGCTCCTCAAGCCTTAGCTGCTCTCCAAGTGAGGGGGAGGAGGATTAAGTAGGAATTCCAATGTATTTCCAGCATTTTGCAAGACTAGAAGGAGGGAAGGAGAAAGGAGGAGAGAGGAGAACATTTTTCATTCTCGTGGCGAGGGCCACTAAAGAGAGTGATAAAATCCACCTGGGCCACTTCAAGGGCAGAGACTATGTGTCCTGTTCTTTTTTGTCCCTTGGGAGCTCCAGTACCTAGCACTGTTCCTTGTAATTTAAGCATACATGTTTCTTGTGGGTTGAAACTCACACCAGCTTAGAGATAAAGAGAAAAGGGGAGGAGTTTAGCCCCAGGGACTAAGGGAATGGAAGTTATAAAGACGAAAGTTAAAGAAACGGTCTAAAAAAAAAAAAAAAGAGAGAGAGAAAGAAAAAAAGAAACAGTCTATAAATCTGCTAGACTCCACTTTGCTCTCCAAACTTTTTTTTTAATTTTAATTTTAAATAGTCGTGCTGTCCCATGATTCAAATGCCAGAAATTATATAAAAGGTAAACAATATAAAGTCTCCCTTAAATTCTTGTCCCTCATTGGTCCTGTTTCCATTGGTAACCACTGCTCTTACTTTCTTATGAATTTTTTCAGTATTTCCTTGTGAGTACAAGCAAATTTGAATATAAGTTCAAATATAGTTTGAAACTTCTGCATAAAGGGAAGCATTATTCATGTTGTTCTCCACCCTATTTTTTTCACTAAACAACACATTTTGGACACTTTATAATACATTTCATAAGTGGTATAAAAATGACCTTCACATTATCTTATTTTATTTTACTGCTGCACTGTATTCCTTGTGTGGATATACTATAACTTGCTTAATCAGTCCCCTGTTTAAGGACATTTGGGGTGTTTCCAACCCCTGGCAATTTAAAAACTATGTTCCATTTACAAAGAGTACAACACACATCTGCAGACAGAACTGTAGTCTAAGTTCTCTGAAATGGAAGATCTGAACCACAGGGATATGTGCATTTATAATTTTGATAAATATTGCTTGTTACCCTCTACAGATTTCCCAGAAAATAACTACACAGTTGCAAAATATGTCACAAGTAATCTGTTACTTGTAACATTTAAAATCTAGCAATTTATTTATAGTTTAAGAAATAAAAATGATTTCAAGATTATTCCCATAATGTTATTCTCACTTGCATCCCTGATAGAGAGAAAAGTGAGTAATGGTCCAGTTATCCTGCTGAGAATGTGTATAACCCACTGCCACAACCATGTACATCACACATGTCATCACCACTTGCCTTTAAAAGAGACATATTGGAAATTATCTTGATGATATTGATGTAGGGGGAAATATCCATCAAACATGCAAAGGACAAGCCATTAAGAAAATATTATAAATTAAACAACATAAAAAAAATTCTGTTCTATCCAGGGTTGATGTATATACATGGATAATCTCAGGGCTCTAGAGAAATGAGACCGGGAATGGAAGCTAAGGAAAAATAACCCAGAGGGACCATTCACTTTGTTTTCAATGTTTATAAACAATGTTGCAATAAATAATTCCCTTACCAATGATCATTTACAATGTTTCCAGTTGCTACAGATAGTGCTTCAATAAACAGCCTTGTACATTCAAAAAAGGAAAAAGAGAGGAAAAATTGGAGCTATGTCTCACTTAATGGAAATTGTACACCAAGAAACAAATGTATGATTGAGTGTATCAGTACAATTATTTGCATTTCAGGTTAAAAAAAGAGGAGGGTATGTGAAGAACATTGATAACTGATGCTCTGCACCTCACACCCTTCTGAACTTCTTGCCTGCTTATTGACCTACCAAAAGCTCTCTCTCCCCCTTTTCTGTTGTCCCATACTTGTGGGTTTGAAATCTCACCTCCTTGACATAACCCTACCCAGCCCAGCCCACAGTTCCCCTGGGCCTAAAAAAAACTATCTGAAGCCCAATCTAGATTCCAATTTCCAGGCTCTAAGTAGTACCAGCAAAGAAAATATTTGGATGACAGTTATGGAAAAACAGGTAATCACAGGTCTGCTCACACTTTATTCTACTTCCCCTACTTTCCTTGCCTATATCATTCTTTTTTCTTTCCCCTTGCTACTTCATAAGCATTTTTAAGGCCTTCATGATTTTCAAAGGTTTATTTAACCTACTTGCTAAATCACCCCTTCTCCTCCCACTCATCTCCTTTTATTTTCAGGGCAGCCTTTTTTATTGCAGGAGGTAAAATAGAGGCAGAAACCTGGCTAAAGGAGAAATTAAAGGCCCCATTAAATCCCAAATGATGAAACAATATGAATATGTGGAGAACTGGCTCCTGCCTCTGTCTTCCCACCACATAACTTGGGGTAAGATCTCTGACTCTTCAGAAGCCAAATGAGAAATAAGTTACATTTAGATTCCCTATAGATTTTTCAAATTTTCATTTTACCCTTGCACACTCACTGTTGCCTCTTCCCTTCCTATTCTACCTCAAATTTTTAGCCCTTTTGGGGAAAAATGACAATATTTGTTGAACATTCACTGTTTGCCAGGCTCTGTGCTAAGCACTTTACATGAATTATTTCATTTAATATTCACAATGACCCTTGAAGAGAGGTCCTATTATTATCATTTTGCAGTTGAAGCAATGGAGGCCCAGAGAAGTGAAGTTACTCATCTAAGGTCACATTCCTAAGAATAATTTAAGCACAGACAGTTTAACTCCAGATCTCATGCTTATTCATCCAAAACTAATCAAATTCTCAGTAGAGCCTCCCCTAGTTCCTCTGTCCTCAAACACTCTCCAATGTGGCTTATTCTCCAAACTATTCAAGTTACCGTTCTAACATCCTAGTAATAATAAGCAAAATGACCCTTTTAAAACATGTCAAATCATCCATTCCTTTGCACAAAACAATCTAAAATTGTCCCCTCTCTAATTAAAAGTAAATCCAAAATCTTTACCTACCAGGCTTTCTTGATCTGCCTTTTATGTTCCCCAGTACTCTGATCTCAAATTCTCTTCTCTTTGCTTTGTTCACTCCAGCTACACTGGTATCCTTCTCTTTTCTTGAACACACTAAATACACCTTCTACCTGAGGTTTTGTCCTTGCTGTCCCCTCTGCCTGA